CTCATGGCAGCCCAGCTCCAGGTTGAGCTGTTGTTCAGCATCTTAGCTGTGGAGGGCAGTGTCACTGGCCCTCCAAACCGGGGCCCTCTGGCATCCCAAGCGAGTTCTTAACCATCGCGCCACTCGGCCGGCCCTTATTTTCATTTTCAATTTTACTTCAGAGCCTGTGGCTCGCAAGCTGCCATTTGCTGACCCCTGGCGGCTCTTCCGTCTCAAAAGTTTGCCGAACCCTGAATAGTACCCCAATATTTAGACATTTTCAGTGTGCCTAGATGAAAGACTACATTTTCCAGCATCCCTTGTAGCTAGGAATGATCGGGCGACCAAGTTTTGGCCAGTGGGGTGAATGGGATGTTGGGTGAGACTTAAAGGAACAAGTCTAAAAGGGAGGGGTCTTTCCTATCCCCATCACCCAGGGGATGGAAAGATTATTCAAGATTCACTGACGGGGAGGGCAGCAGGATGGGTTCTGATGCCCGGGCATCTGTAGCTCACGGGGAAGCCCTTGGAAGTTATCAGGTCCTGCCTTGACTTCCCCTCCACACTCACAGACCTGAAGTCGGGGATGCCCGAGGCAGTGCTGATGCCGGCACCCGTATGGAACACCACGTTGGAAGACTGCCAGACCAGCTTTGCCAGCTCCCACACCTTCTGCTCCAACTCCTCGGGGGGGTCAAAGATCTGTTGTGTGAGAGAGCAGAAAGGAGTAGTCAAAACGTGTCCCATAGCGGTAAGGCCACTGGCCACAGAAGAGCTGCCCCTGCCTTGTCCAAGGGAGGAGAGTGGATCTGAAAAGGAGGCTTATAGTCATTCCCTCCTCTGCCCACAGTGCTCTGGGGCTCCTACCTTCCTCCGGGTAAAAGCCTAAGTTCTCCTGGAGGCCTGCTGCCTAAAACACTCTTTCCTCAGACTACCTCCCTCACCTCCTTTAGGTCTTGGCTCAAAAGTCACCTCATTTGTACACCCAGGTTCAGAGCAGCATTATTTACAATGGCTAAAACACGGAAGCAACCCAAATCCATCAATGGATGAAAAAACACAATGTGGTCCATCCATACACTGGGATATTATTCAGCTTTAAGAAGGAAGGACATTCTGACACCTGCTACAATTTGGATGTACCTTGAGAACATTGTGCTGAGTGAAATAAGCCAGACACGAAAGGACAAATACTGTGATTCCACTTATATGAGGTCCCCAGAGGAGTCAAATCCATAAAGGCAGAAAGTAGAATGGTGGGTGCCAGGGGCTGGGGGAGAAAGAATTAGAGTTTAAACGGGACAGAGTTTCAGTTTGGGAAGATGAGAAAGTTCTGGATGGTGGTGATGGCTTCACACCATTATTAATATACTTAATACCACTGAATGTACACTTAAAAATGGTTATGATGTTAAATTTTATGAAAGAGGTATTTTACCACAATAGAAGACATTGAAAAAGCCATCTCGGGCCGGCCGAGTGGCGCGATGGTTAAGAACTCGCTTGGGATGCCAGAGGGCCCCGGTTCGGATCCCACATATGAGGGCCAGTGACACTGCCCTCCACAGCTAAGATGCTGAACAACAGCTCAACCTGGAGCTGGGCTGCCTATGAGTCGCCGGCGACGGCTTGGGCTGCAGTCCCTGTGGCAGTGGATTGCCATGGGCTACCGTGTGTGGCCAGCAGCCAGCGTAAGCGGCTAGCAGCCGCAGTGAGCGGCCGTCCAGAAGCCGGCAACTGATCTGCCTCGCCAGAGAAGAGCGCAATGATGGTGCCAACTTGGGCCAGTGAAGCAACGCCCTCCACAACTAGATTGAAGAACAAAACGACAGCAACTTGTCTGTTCCCCTTCCCCCAATTCCCCAGCACTGTTCCCATCCCCCCAATTCCCCAATAAAAATCTTTAAAAAAAAAGAAAAAGCCATCTCAGTGATGTGTCCCTGGCCACCTGGTTTCAATGCTGCCCCCAGCTCTCCTCATCCCTGACAGGTTTACTTTTCTCCCTAGTTCCCATCTCATTTCTTATATTTATTTGCTGCTGCCTGTCTCCCCACTGGAATGAGGGGGTTATCTGTTCCCTGCTAGGGTTCCAGGACCTAGAAAGTGCCTGATGGCACAGCAGGTGCTCAATAAATGTTTGTGGAATAATGTGAATACTGGCAAGAGAGGAGTGGGGCTTCAGGAAGCTTCACACCATCTAAGAACTCCTTAACTTCCTGAGCAGACTAGCCTTTATGGGATGGGGGCAATCTTCCCCCACTTTACAGAAGGGGAGAGGAAGCGCAGAAGGGAAGTGACAAGTCCAAAGTCTCAGTGTATGGAGTGGGCTTCCTCTCGGAGTAGCTGGAGGGGCCTTTCTGACACATATTTACATCCATCCAGGTTCCTCCCCAGCTCAAAACCCGTTTCCATCACCCTCAGGATAAAGTGTCAACTTAGGCTGGCATTTGGGGCAGGTCCTGACCAGATTCTGGAAACCTCTCTGATCTAATCTGTTCCCCAAGAATGTTTATTCCCACATCCCTGCCTTTGCCCCAGTGCCCTGCGCCTAGAACTACATCCCTTGCTCCCCTATCGGAACTTCAGGACTTCCTCACGATGTTCCTTTCCTCTGTGCCAGCCTCGCGGACCCGAAGCTGGGCGTGTTCGCGCCCCCGGGTATGCTAGGGGCGTCACTTCCCGCCCCCTCCTCACTGGAAAGTCCCTCCCATTGTCTAGCCTCGGTGCCTCCTGATATTCCCACAATGCCCCGCTGCTGCCCGGCCCCGCCCGGTCCGCCGCCTTAAAGGGGCGGCCTTCCGGACCTCCCGCCGCGCTCACCTCTGGGAGGCCGCACTTGCCCTTGTCCGCGTACGGCGACAACCCAGCCGCGTAATTCACCGACATTCTCGCCACCCCAACGGGAACAATAAAGTTTCCCTTGTTGAGGCCACTTCCGCCGGAAGCAGGGCGGGACGGGGAGGAACGAGGAACCGCCCGGTCTCTCCCTCCAAGGCGCATGCGCCTCATGTTGACGCCGCAGGCGCCATCTTAATTGCTGGTTAAAGAAGCCGGCTTACTTCTGAAAGTTCGCGTGGAACGGGGAAGGGGCTGTGACCTGGGTGGGAAGCCAGGGCTGCCGTCTACGTGAGAGTTCTCCAGCCACCTCTAAAAGGAGGAACACAAGCCAGTTCCCCTTTTTTACACATTAGTAAAGTGATGCTCCACTTCCACTCCTCCACGAGGATAGAGTCAGAGAGAAGCGACCCAGGACTGGGGCTTCCTGGGTTCTTATCGTTGCACATTTCAGAAGTTTATAAAGTTACGGGTGTAGGATACCTGTGGCACGGAGTAACTTGGGGCCTCATTAGGGAAGGTCCTGGACACCACTCTAAGTTATCTTAATGTTATTCAGGTGGATGATAATCTCCACTCAGCAGGACAGGTCCAGACTGCACCAACAGGCTAGAGAAGCTGCTTAAGGTCATCGGGGCTGGTGGCCTTGAGGACTCATTTAAGAAACACGTGTTGAGTACCTACTGTGTGCTGAGGAGGCACTGGAGAACAAAGGTGGCACCTTGTGGTAACTATGGACACAAACCAGTGACTGGGCAGTCGTGACTTAGTGTGATTGGGGTGCAATGAGGGCATCGGGAAAATGAGGGAGCTCAGAGGAGACACCTGACCCAGCCTGGGGCTTTCTGGAGGAGAGGATGTTGTAGCAAAGATCTGAAGCGTGAGTAGGAGTGAGATGGGGAGAATGAGCAAGTTGGGGATGACATGGGGTACAGAAAGAGTGCTCCTGACAGAGGGAACAGCAAATGCAAAGGCTGGGAGAAGAGAAAAAGGGTGGCTCATTCCGGAAACTGAAATCGGTCCAGTGATAGGGAAGAACGTCCGTGTCTTCCCGCCAGAGCCGGTTGGCCAACAGGCAGCCCTGCTGCCAACCTGTCTCCTCCCTCGGCTCATCCCCAGCCCCCTGGGGCAGCTGCCCGCTAAGAGCTGATCAGGTGTCCTAGCTGAGCGCACAGAGCTGATGGTGCAAGCTGGTGGCCCAGCTGGAAGCAGGTAACCGGAGCCAGCAGTGAACACTGGTGGCCTGCTGCTGGAGTCACAGGAGCTGCAGGAGGTAGGAGAGAAAGAAAGGGAGGGAGGACTTGGATGGGGGCTCCCTTTAGGGTCTTGGGCTCCTTGTCCCCGAGCCCTGGTATGTGGGAGAAAGGAGAAGCCGGTGTGTGTCCCAGCCACGCTGAGGAGCCTCCTAGGCACCCTGACACATGCACACAGTGGTTCATGCACATACCTCCCACTTCCCAGCCTTGACTTTGTCTAGGGTATGGACCCTCTTTTGCTGCTGCTGCTCAATATCCTGCCTGGCTTTCAGGCCCTGCTTATATACCATCCCCTCTTCCAGGAAGCAGCTCCCTAGATGAGGGCACTTCCCCCTCCCCCAAGCCCACAGATTCCCTCCTGCTGAAGCAACCTGTGGACTCCTCTCTTGGGTGTCTTATTACACTCTGCTCTGGGTGTGATTGAGTCCTTTAGACAGGGGTAAAGACAGGTGGGGGTGGGGGTGGTGAGCAAAGGAGTACATTGAGTGAATGGAGGGTGAATGAATGGATGGGCAGTAGATGGACAGTGGGTAGATAGAGTTAATGGATGGATGGGAAGGTGGATGTATGGTAAGTCGATAAGTCAGTGGAGGGTGGATGAGGATGGATGAGTGAATAGATGAGTGGGTGGGTGTTAGATGTGTGGGTGAGCACATACGTAGGTGTATAGGTGGATGGATGGGTGGTTAGGGAGGTGGATGGATGGATAGGTGGATGGGTGGGTGGTTGGTGAGTGGAGCACAGTGAAGGGTACATGAAAACCATGAGAAAAATGAGTTGGGCAGGTGAGTTGGTGGGTGGATGTACAAGTACTTAGACAGGAAGATGGATGTACAAATGAGTAGATGGGTAGGTAGGCAGATGGAAGGATGGCTTGGAGAAGTCATGGGCAGGTGGACAGGTGCAATCCTGCTCAGATATAGGAAGGAATCCCTGGCCACATAACTAGCAAAACATTCCTTCAAGACATCCCTGCCTAATCTCCATACCCACGTGTGCATGGGACACGGAACAAGCCTAGATGCATAGACGTGCATGCACACACACACCTCATGCTTGTGTGTGTGTGCACATACATGCACACAACCATCACCCCAGATCTCCACATGCCTTGGGTTACTTGCGTCTAGTCTCTCACTCACACAGAAGTTAGGCTGGTGTAAGGGGGGACTTAGCTGCAAGGATGTTCTCTCCGACTATCCAAAAATAATCATCTGTGCTAAGAGCCTCAGCTCTAGGCCTGGCCCCAAGGAGCCCCTAAGTATTCAGAAAGATTGAACCAGCCCAGACACTTTGAGCTTGTGGATCCATGGCTGGGGGAGCCCAATTTGGTGAGTTAGAGCTCTGTCTACTGGTGAGAGGCAAAGCTGATCAGAACATGGGATTTTGGAACTAGGCTGTGTGGGATGAATAGGAGTTCACCAGAGAAGGAAAAAAGAAAGGCAGGTAGAAATAACTGCACAGATAAAAGCTTGGAGACCAGAAAAGGCTTGATCTGCTTGGGCCACAGGGAATACTAGTGAGGTGCATTATTGAGCACCTATTGTTTGCTGGCCCTGTGGTAGGGACCTCATGGGAAACTGACCACGAGTTGGTCAAGAAGGGATTATCTTCCTCATTTTAAGGATGAGAGATGTGAAAGTCAGAGAGGGCAAGTGACCTGCTGAAGGACATGCAGCAGTTAGGAGGTGGAGCAGGTAGGTCTCTGTCCTGCTCCAGGTGCTAGGATGGCTTAGCGAGGGGGAAGTCGTCCTTTTGAGGAGGGGGAGGCAGCTGACGCTCCTGCTCACCAGAACTGATGTCCCTCACCCCCTGCACTTTCCCAGGTGGCCTGGATTGAGGAGAAACACTGGACGCTGGCCATGAAGACTCTCCGGGCACGATTTAAGAAAACAGAGGTGAGTCTGAAGCCATTGAGATGCCTGATGTCCCCCAACCTCAGGTTCCTGTCCTCCATGGCCTGACTGAAGATCCACTGGGCCTGTGGGCCATTGTCCTCTGCCCACAGATTTCTTTTAGCAGCGTCCATGTGACCAGGGCCCTCCTTGTTCAAAACTCTCCCATGGTTCCTCACCACGCACAGGTTCAAGTTTACCCCTTAGGGTCTGGCCACCTCCCCTTCCCTTTCTCTCTACTGCCCCCTGCTGCCCTGATGTCCCCACTGCTTCCTGTTTAAGCTTTCCAGCCACCGTACCTTTTCCCAGGCTGCTCCCTCCACCTGGGATGCCCTCTCCCGGTATTACTGCCTATCAAACCCTCCCCATCCCTACCAATTTGGCTCCAATAACACTTCTTTCAGAAGATCTGTGCTCTCCCCAGCTATAGTGACCACTTGCTTTTCTGAGGACTCACTTTTTGAGGGACTCTTATCTCTTGTTTTTGACTATTTATTCAGCAAACATTTGTATCAGGCACTGTTCTAGGCACAGAACAAATCACAGTGAATAGGACAGGCAGAAATCTTTGCCCTCCAGAGCTGACAGCCAGGTGGGGAAGATGGACGCTACACAAGATAGATGAAGGAAAAGGCATGTTTTGTGTCACAGAGACAAAGCAAGGAAAGGAAATTGGAGAGTCCAGGGCAGGGGAGAGGGTTGCAATTTTAAAGCAGCTTGTCAGCGAAGTTCTCGCCAGGAAGCTGATATTAGAGCAAAGATTATAAGGGAAAGAGAGAGGATTTCGTGTGTTTATTTGAAGGAATTGAATTCCAGATGTAGGGACTAGCCAGTGAAAAGGCCCTGAGGTGGGATAGAGCTGGCTTCCCTTGCAGCTATATCATGGACTGTGTACCCCCAGAGGGAAATGCTCCTTCTTCAGTCACTCCCACTCTCTCCTGTCCCCCACTCCCCCAGTTCCTGCCAGTGTGGGGGCCTGTCCAGTGCACAGATTAAGAGACCTAAGTGAGGGTTTGCATCTAGAGTCAGGGTGCCCCTCTGTGCTGGGCTTGGTTAGGCTTGATTTCACACTTGCGGCACAAAGAAACCAAGGTCCAGAGAGATTCAGTCACCATTCCCGGTCACAAAGCAGAGTGGCAACAGTGAGATTCAAACCTACATGTGCCTGACTTCAGAACTCTTAGTGTCTCTACCACGTGATAGGGCCTCCTGTTCAGCAGGCATAGCCCAGAGCAATCACAGAGGTTACCTGGAGGGTGCAGCGCTGGGGAGGTGCTTAGAAGGACCAGGAAGATTTAGACAAGTGAAGACACACAGGAGGAGGACGGAGACCAGTGTGGGCAAAGATTCGGAGTCTGGACCACGCCTGGATGATTCAGGGGCATATAGGATGATGAGCAGCTTTTTCTGGCTGGAGCAGAGAGCGTGAAAGGGAGCTGAGGGCAGAGAGGTCCAAGCCCAAGGAGTCCTTGAAAGCCAGAAAGAGGGGGCAGGGCCATAGCCTGGTTTAAAGTCAGGTGGCTCTGGGTTCAAATCCTGTCCCCGACAAGGTGGGTGACTTTGGGTCTGTTACTACCTATTCTGTGGCCTCCCTCAGTTTTTCCAACTTAACTATTCTATTTATTTTTATTATTGATTTTAACATTCCTTTCATTTTTATTTTATTTTAATTTAATGTTTTTAATTTTAAAATTGAATGTCATTGAATTAATTTTTAAGTATTTCATTTTATTTTTGTTTTTATCTATTTGTATTCAAATACTATAAATAGATAACCATGTATTTTGCAGATACTAGTATGATTAATTCTCTTAAAAATCTGTGAGGTAGTGGCTTTTATTAACCCCTACTTTATAGATGAGGAATGGAGGGCCAGAGAGGTTAAGGAATTTGCCCAAGGTCACACAGCTTGGACGTTAGACACCAGGCTTCCCTCATGTTACTGTGAACATGATTTGGGCTTTGGGAAGGAGGGTGAGAAGTGCACTGATTGAAAAGAAAAAAAGGAGAGAGGGAGAGAGAGAGAAGGGAGAAAGAGAAGAGAGAAATGGAGAGAAATAAATGAATAAATGGCTCATTAACCTCCTACAAAATGTGACATGGGTTCAGCTTCATTTACTGTGGAATGACCCTAGAAGTTTTCCTCCAGTTTGGATTCAATTCCTAACTTAGATTTTTCACATTGGCTCCCAAGAATTTCTGAAAAGTTGTAGCCTGTGGTAAACCAAACCAAATAATTGTTGAATTTCAAGAGCAGAATTATACTGAAATCAAATCTTTCAAAAAGTTTTGTGCAACTAAAAAAAAAAAAGACACCTAATTTGGAGCATGGGTGTTTTGAAAGATACGAGGCACAAAGTGAAAGCGGGGAGGAAGGGGGACTGGACAGTGCTAAATGTCAAACTGGGTGTGAGGGGTCTCTGGGGGTGCCTGGGGGGTGGGGACAGTGTTTGCTCTGAGTGGGAAGGAGCCTGGGCTGGGCCAGCAGGGCTGGAGCCTAGCAGCAGCTGGAAGGCCTGGAGGAGGAAGTCGGGGAGAACTTGTCCTCTATCCCCTCCAACACACACTGGGCATCTGCCATTGTCCCTCCCTCCACCTGCCCGTCTCCAGTTTCTTGCAGGCAGCCGGAGTCAGGTTCAGCTTTTGTTCAGCTCCCCGAGGGAATAAAGCAAACACCCATGACTGCAGAGGTCCCACCTCATGTCTCTGCAGATCTTTTATTCCCTTCTCTTTAGCACACACAGTTCAGCCCCCACACCTTTTCTCTAGTCCCTCCCTGCTGCTTGCTGTGCCCTCCCCACTCCACTCTGCTTCTCTAATACTAGCCTTATCCCCAACAGATCTGATACTTGCTCTGGGCCTTCCAGGGCCCTCTCTGGCCCTCAGCATTTCCATCCATCAAATGGGAGTTAACTGAAGCCATAAGCCCAGACTCCCACCAACCTCCTGCCCTTATTTCAGGTTTTAGAAAAATCCCACAAGAAAGAAGGTTGGGGTTTTTAGAAATTTGTAGACTCCCAATGCCTCAAGGCTTCCTGGCAAAGCTCTTTCCCTCTCCCTCCCTCTCTTTTTCCCTCCCTCCCCCATCTCATATTTATTTTCCAGAGTCAACCATTTCTTTCATTCATTCAACAGACATTTATTGAGCACCTACTGTATGCCAGGCCCTGTTGTAGGTGCTCATTTGGTTTAACGCTCTGTTCTTGTCGTCTTGAAATTCTTTATTTTTTAATAAGAGTCCCCACATTTTCATTTTGTACTGGGCCCCGCCAGATCTATTCCCAGTACCCATTGGGGCTACAGCAGTGACCAAGATGGACCCAAGTCCCTGCCCATGTGGAGGTGACATTCTAGGGGAGAGACCGAGAAGAAACAGAATATTTTTGGAAAGGTACACAGTGTGACGTCAGGTGTTGATAAGAGCCATGAAGGAGAAATAAACTCTACTAAGGGGCTAGAGAGTGATGAGAGTAGGCTCTCTGAAGGGGTGTCTTCTAGTGCAGACAACAGTAAAGGACTCACCAATGTGGACAGTGGGGGAGGGACGGTAGGGGAGGGTCAGTGCTCCAGGCAGGGGGCACAGCTAGAGTAAAGGCTCAGAGGTGGGTTGTTAGAGGACCAGAAAGCAGGCCGCTGCGGCAGGATGGATTGGACCAGGGTAAATAATGTAGAGATGAGCTCAGTGAGTTGACTGGCAGACTGTTTAGAGAAGGAGTGGGCACGTTTTTCCTGTAAAGGGCCAGACAGTAAATATTTGTGGTTTCGTGGGCCCTCCGGCCTCAATTTTGACCTTGCAGCTTGAGAGCAGCCATAGGCTGTCTGTAAATGGATGAGTGTGGCTCTGTCCCACTCAAACTTTATGTCTGGGCACCGAAATGTGAATTTCACATGACTTTCATGTGTCACGAAATAGCATTCTTTTTTTTATTTTCTTACCTCCAACCACTTCTAAGTGTAAAAAGTCATTCTGAGCTCTTGAGCCAGACATAACCAGGCAGGGGTGGGATTTGGCACGGGACCACAGTTTGCAGATCCCTGGCCATAGAACTTCCTGCGTTTTATGCTGAGTGAGGTCGCTGGAGGCTTTTGAGCAGGAGAGAGAGAGGATCTGATGCAGGCTTTAGGAAGTTGGTGGCCAAGGGACAAAGAGGACGAGGACAGAAGCCAGGAGACCAGAGAAGGGGTGTCCCCCAGATGGAGCCCTCAGTGATGGGACTGGACCACGGGTGAGAAGGGGTGAACCTGGACATAGTTTATAGTCGGTAGGGTTGGCTGGTGGATGGGGTGTGGGGTCAGAGAGAGGGGTCCAATGATGCCAGAACTTGGCTTGAGCCTCTGGGGGGACGGCAGTGTCCATGGCACACTGCAGGGGGCTTTTGTCTGAGCTTGTATAGCATCCAGGAGGACAGGCCAATAGCAGTTGGAAATCCGAGGCCTGAGCCCAGAGATCCATCTCAGTCTCCTTTCTGGACAAGCCAGCCCCTTGGAGTTAGAGCCAAAGGCTGTGTCCTCTCTATGTTTCAGTGATTTAACTAAGCACCTACTATGTCCTGCGTCCCCAGGATTCAGCATTAGATATGCACATGGGCCCAACCACATCTTTGTTTGATGAATGAATCCACATTTATGGCACCCTTACTATGTGCTAGTCACTGTGCTGAGTGCTTTGCTTATAGTATCTCATGTGGTCCTTCAATAACCCTCTGCAGTAGCTACTGTTTATTATGAAACCCATTTCCTGGATGAGGAAAGTGAAGTCCAGAACAGGTAAGTATCTTGGCTGAGTCACATAGGTGGTACATGCAGGGGGTACAGAGGGCAGGTCCCTGGATTCAAATTCAGGTTTGTCAGACTGCAGAGCCCCACTGGCCCATTGAGTGAATGAATGAATGAATGAATGGATGAATGAGTGAATGATGGATGAGTGAGTGCATGAATGATGGAGCTTATGAATGAATGGGTGAGTAAGTGGGATGGCAGGGTGGCAGTGGGAGGCTTTGTCTGTCCACGGCTCAGGTCTGGAGTCACCTGTGACCCCTGGCCAGCTTGGCTGCTGGGAGGAGGTGGAGACCACGCAGGCAGGCGCATCCATAGCGCTCCCGTGGGCAGCCTGCGGGGGTGAGTGAGCCAGGTCCTCCTCAGAGCAGCCAGGGCGGTGCCCCTCCCCCAGAGCCCAGACCCCTCCCTGGCTCTCCCCTCATGGTGGGGGAGGGGGCACGGGGAGGGGGGCACGTGGTGGAGGGGGCAGTGCTGGGTTTGGCACATAGCGCCAGCCCCTCAGACCCTTCCCGCTCCTCCGGCCTGATCGCCTCCCGGAGCCCGGCTACCCGGCGCTCTGGACGCCATGAAGCAGCTGTGTCTGTGTGCTGCCACCTCCTTCACGGTAGGGACACGGGTAGGGGCGCAGGACTGGGTGGGACTCAGGTTCTAAGTCTACCCTCCCTGCCCCGCCCCCTGACTATGCCGGGCCTAGATCCCCCCCACCCCCAAAACCAGAAGGATGAGCAGGGAGAGGGCAGAGACGGGGGTGGGCATTTGAGGAGACAGATGGGGACTTTGAGGACAGATGAAGACACTTAGTAGAATTGAGAGGGCATTTGGAGGGATAATTTGGGGGAACAGTTTTGGATGGAGTCACTTGAGGGACAGTTTGGATGCTATTTGGGGGGTTTTTGGGAAAAGATTGACATTTGGAGAACAATTTTAGAGGACATTTGAGAAAAACTTGGGGGGAGGACATTTTTGGGACAGACCATGGGGTCATTTAGGGGGCTGATTTTGGAGAACACATCAGGAACTTGGAGGAGACATTTTGGAGTGCATTTCAGGCTAGTTTTGGGGAACATCTTTGGGGACATTTGGGGGACAATTGTGGCATTTCAGGGGCTGTGGTAGAAGGATCAGTGGCAGAAGATGGTTCTGAGGGACATTTAAAGGGACAGTTTTAGGGGTTCCTTTGGAAGACTACTGAGGGTGGTTTGGAAAGACGTGTGGGTAAGTTTGATGGGGTGATGGAAAGGTGACTTTTCACTATGAGAACAGGCTGGGGGCCTAGGTATGGGGGACAATTTTTGGAAAGATGCTGGGGGCTGATCTGGGATAGTTTCATGGGAGTATGCTGGCACTGGGTATTGGAGAGACAGTTGGGGCTATTGGCCTCGGGGCAGAAGTTGAGGGGCACAGGCTTGGGGGACACTCTCAGGCCCCTGCCCAGGACCCCCTCCCCCTACAGTTGCGGCTCAGCCCCACTGACCTCGGCTCCTGCCCGCCCTGCGGCCCCTGCCCCATCCCAAAGCCTGCAGCCAGAGGCAGGCGCCAGGCAAGTGCCCGGGGGCGGAGGTGAGAGCCTGGAGCCCCTGCCAGGGGTAGTGGGGAGGAGTCAGTGGCTGCCCAGCCCCATGGTCCTCTGGGTGTGCCCCACAGAGCCAGGACTGGGGCAAAAGTGACGAGCGGCTGCTGCAGGCTGTGGAGAACAATGACGCCACACGGGTGGCGTCACTCATCATCCGCAAGGGGCTGGTGCCCACAAAGCTGGACTCCGAGGGCAAGTCCGCGTGAGTGCCTACGGCCTGGGGGGTGATGGCTGAGGGGTGGCTACTCTGTGGCTGACTCCTCACCTCTGACCTCCAGATTCCACCTGGCGGCCATGAGGGGTGCAGACAGCTGTCTGGAGGTGATGCTGGCACATGGCGCCAATGTCATGAGTACAGACGGGGCAGGTACTGCCCGCTGGGCCCCAGGGGTGGGAGGAAGAACTCAGACCAGGCGCCCAGCCTGAGGGTCCAGCCAGGCCCTGCTTCATGACCTGTGTTCTGCTAAAGAAGGGGGTTCCCTTTAGTGCCCCCACGGGCATGTCAGGCTGAAGTACCCAAGGACAGGGACTGTGGCTGGCACCGAGCAAGGTGAGTCAACTTGTAGATGAGGAGTAGCTGGGACTCAGGTAGTTTTTGAGTCAGAGGAAGTAGTTGTAACAGAATAGTATGTGAGCTTGAGAGCTTGAGTCACTGGGGGCATGAGAATAATTAGAATTTGCAGGGAATAGCTGAAGTGTGTGGAGTAACTGGAGTTTAGAGGTAGCTGCAGCACTGGGAGTAGCTGGGACAAAAGGTGAATGTGGGTATATGACTTAGATACCTGAGGGAATAGGTGAGATAGAATGCATGGCCAAAGAAAGTACGTAGCTGGGGCTCACGGTAAGTAGGCATGGGGCATAGCCATGTCTGAAGCTTCAGGCAGCAGGCATAGTAGCCAGGATGGTTGGAGTAGCTGGGGCTTTGCAGAATATCAGAGACAGGGACATAGATGGCACATAGCGTAGCAAGGGTATGAGGATTAGCTGGGAAATGTAGAACAAGTGTGGAATCTGGGGGCATAGCTGGTGCTTTGGTGTAGCTGAACGCACAGAGTAGCTAGGAGTATGGGAAGTTGCTGGGGCGGTAGGGCATCAGAGAGTGGGTGGATGTGGAATGTGGCTGAGATAAGATTGTCAGGAACACAGACTGGCTGGGACTTGGAGAGTCTCTAACCACAGGAAGTGGCCTGGTTTTGACAAGTACCTGGGTTGGGGGACTTTCTAGACATAGGGAAACCAAGTCATCACAAATAGTTGACACAGGTTGGAGAGCAGCCAGTGATCCTTGAGTGTCTGGAGCCCTAGTAAATTCTCTCTCCCTTTCAGGTTACAGTGCCCTCCACCTGGCGGCCAAGTATGGGCAACCACAGTGCTTAAAGCAACTGCTGCAGGTCATTTCCTTTGCTGTCTCAGAAACTCTCCTGCCCTGACTACTCCTAAAACCTAGCAATTCCCTGGACCTCCCCAGACACTCCTTGAATCCTAGATATTCCTTGGCCCCTTTTACTCCTGAGCCACAGCTACTTTTTGGACAAGCAGGTACTCCCTGAGTGTTCAGACACTTTCCGCACACAAGACATACTCCTAATACCAGATATTTCCTGAGCCCCAGCTTCTCCCAAACCCTAGGAACTCTCGTAGCCACAGGCACTCCCGGACCTCCCATCTCCTCCCCAAACCCCCAGCTGCTTCTGAGCCCCTAGCTATTACCTTTTCCTCACCAACTTTCATAAGAAAAAGTCACTTGGCCCTTGAGCCAGGCTCCGCAGAGCAGGTAGGTGGAAGGGGAGGAAGGGGTGAGGCAAGGAGCCTGAGATATAGCGGCGCCAAGGAGGGGCAGTTCCTAGAGAAACCAGCAGCGAAGAGGGATGGCTGTGCTTCAAATGACCTGTTGTCCTGTCCCCAGGCGTCCTGTGTGGTGGATACTGTGGACAGCAGTGGGTGGACGGCCCTGCATCACGCAGGTGGGTGCAGCCAGCCTCACCCTGCCCACCATGGCCCAGAGGGTGCTAGGCTTGGGGGCTAGTCTACCCGGGGCCCTGGGGACCTGCTGTGAAACTTCCGCCTTCCTTCTCCTTCTTTCTCACTGAGCACCTACTGTGTGCCAGGCATTGGGCCTCAGCAACCCTTGAGCCACCAACAATGATCCCATTGGACAGACAAGGCGACTGAGGTTCATCCACGAGAAAGTAGGGAAGACCTAGGCCGTCTAACCCCAAAGCACAGCCTACTGTATGTCAGGCCTGGGGGAGGATGATGGAGGGATGACCCAGTGTGATTTCCTTGGAGGAGCTCCTGGGGACTCTCAGGAGGGCCAAAGGTCCAGGCAGCCTTTATACTCATCAAATCCAAACTCTTTCCCCGAGGGAAGGGAAGGGACCCACTCACTTGAGCCAGAACCCAGCATAATGTTCACCATGCCCATGAGATTCTGGAATAGCTTTCACTGATGACTCCAGAAATGCCTGTCCTCTTGGGAACACAGAATAAATTGGTGTCTGCTTTAGAGTTTGTCAGTTTTAAAATTCCCTGCAGTTGGAGTACGCTGCCACCTAGTGGTGGTGATGTCTTTGGTCACGCTAGGGAAGCTCATTGGTTTTTTTCATTCAGTAACTTTTTTTTTTTAAAGGTTTTATTGGGGAATTGGGGGAGGGGAACAGACAAGTTGCTACCCTTTTTGTTCTTCAGTCTAGTTGTGGAGGACGTGGCTTCACTGGCCCAAGTTGGTATTATCATTGCACTCTTCCCGGGTGAGGCAGATCTGTCGCCAGCCTCTGGACGGTCGCTCATGGCGGCACTTGGCAGCTCACACCGGCTGCTGGCCGCTCACAGTAGCTTATGGCAGCCCACTGCAGCAGGGGCTGCAGCCTACCCCATCACCAGCGATTCACAGCATCCCAGCTCCAGGTTGAGCTGTTGTTCACCATCTTAGCTGTAGAGGGCAAGCGTCACTGGCCCTCATGTGGGATCCGAACCAGGGCCCTGCTGCTCAGAGCTGGCGTCCCAAGCCAGCTCTTAACCAATGCGCCACTCTGCCAGCCCCTCAGTAACTGTTTCTTGAGTGCCTGCTATGCATCAGGCTCTGTTCTGAGCGTTGGGATTATAGCAGTAAACAAAATCTCATACTCCCTCGGGCACCCAGCAGCTATCAAATAGAGTCTGTTAACTTGTCCAGCAACACCTCTCAGCATGAAGCCCTCCCTTCCCTATTTGAGGCTACACGTGGACATCCATACCGTCTCCCACACCCTTGACCTTACCAAGCTCTTTGCTCGTGCAGTAACCTCTACCTTCCCCTTTTCACTTTCAAAACTCAGAACTCAGATCAAACCCTGGGAAGCCTGCCCCACCCCAACTGAGCTCTGATCCTTCTGGTAAACATTAACACTCTCTTTATGAGGGTTTGGTACATAGTAGGTACACAATAAATACTGGGCGAATCAAAGAGGGGAAATAACATGAAAATCAGCCCAACGTCCCAGCTTAAGAGGGAAACCAAGTGGAATGTGGAACGAGCTTGGGACTGGAAGTTAGCTGACTTGGATCTTAATTGTGGTTTTGCCTCTGACCCGATGGGGTGACCATGGACCTGGTTGGGCCTTAGTTTCCTCATCTGTAAAATAGGATTCATACTTTCATTATTTATCTTCCAGGGGAGGTGGGAATTTCTCATGAAATAAAAGATAAGAATCACACCCAGACAGAGGGCCCACAGAAAATGTCTAAGCTTTACCCTATCTACCACTTACCCCTTTCTCTTTTCCCAGCGGCGGGTGGCTGCGTCTCCTGCTCAGAAATGCTCTGCTCCTTCAAGGCACATCTGAATCCCCGAGATCGGGTGAGCTTCTGCGATCTTTTGGGAAAAGATAATGTACTTGATGTACGCTGCTACCAAGTGCCAACATCCCAGGCACCCTTTGAAAAGTGTAGAAAAGTTTGAAGTGAAGCCCAAGGGCAGTCATGTAGGCTTCCCCGTGTCCCAGGGTCTCATGTCTCATTTCATCCCTCTCCCAACCCCCACCAGTTGGGTACAACACCCCTCCTCATAGCAGCTCAGATGTGTCACACAGATCTGTGCCGCCTCCTCCTGCAGCAGGGGGCTGCCGTGAATGACCAGGACCTGCAGGGCAGGTGAGCATTCCTCCTCCCGCCAGTCCATTGTGTGCTGTGTGACCTTGTGCAAGCCTCTCAACCTCTCTGGTTGGGGGGAATCTCCTTGGCCTCCTCCCCAACCCAAGCTGGGTGTTGAGGAAGGCATGGGGGTTTGAGGATGTCCTCACCCCCTCAGTAGCCCCCTCTTCTGGTAGGACGGCCCTGATGCTGGCCTGTGAGGGAGCCAGCCCCGAAACTGTGGAGGTGCTGCTGCAGGGCGGGGCCCAGACTGGCATCACCGACGCGCTGGGCCAGGATGCTTCTCACTACGGTGCCCTGGCAGGGGACAAACTCATCCTGCAACTCCTGCAGGAAGCAGCTCAGCGCCCCTCACCACCCAGTGGTATGCAAGACCCACCTCTCAGCGATTTCAGGCACCCTCCTCCATCTCCTTCAGCTTCTTGTTACCCATTTCTCTCCCTACTGTGGATTGTTCCAAGGTATCCCTGTTTACTGTTTTACAGGAAGTTTCATGGCTACCCTGATCCTACTCAGGACAGTTTCAAGGAGACCCAGAGTTTTTAGAGTAGTCTAGGGGTCCACTTCACTTTCTTGGGTGATCCTTATTCTTAGATCTTTGACTTTCCTTAGAATTGGCATCCCACTCACCCCATCCTGGAGATGCCACTGTCCTCTTTTTTAGAGTTTCAAGGCTCCTCTTATCAGCATTTTGCCAAAGTAGTTGATTCCTACCTTAAAAGCTCTGGTTCTTGGGGAATCAGGAGCAGCTCTGTAAGTCCCCTGGGCTCGCCAGTGCCCTTCCTAGGGCAGGGAACGGAGTCCCTAGAACATAGTGCCTGACCCTGCTTTCCTCTCTCCCCTGCCCTCCTAGAGGATGACTCAGGCGAGGCATCATCTCAGGTATGCATCTCTAAGCAGTGAATGAGTCCTCCTCCCTATGCACACACTACCTTCTCCTTGCCCCAAGCTCTGTGGGAAGAGAAGGAAGAGATTGACCCCTGCTTCATGGTTATGACTTGGGAGAACTTGTTTGGGAGGAATGCTACCTTCAGGGTACGCTGCCACCAAGTAGCAGCATTGCCCACAGCATAACTCCCAGAACTGGGTGAGAACACTGGGGAGATAGGGCCAAATCATGGGGCTGGGGTGAGGTGATGAGGGGACTGAGATTGGTGAGGGCTGGTGTAGTCAGGGAAGGAGGCAGGTCAGGCCTTTTTTCCTCTCCCAGCTTTATACCTTCGCAGCTCTATAGGGAAAGGAAATTTGTAGACATCTGGTCTAGTTGGGAAAAGTCCCAAGGCATGGAGAGGGGCAGAGAGTAAAGCATAAGATCTGGAACTCTCAGGGAATGTAGTCTCATCCCCTTTATGCTGGGATAAGTGAGGACCAGAGAGAAGTAGGGACTTGCTCAGGATCACACAGGAAGAGCGGGCAAAATTGAGGCTGGTGACAGATAGGAGGCTGGCTGGGTTGGTTCATTTGGGTGGGTGGCTGGCATGTCCCCCATGTGCCCCTTCACCCCCTCCCACCCAGAACTCTGTGTCCAGCCATGAAAAGCGAGGGGCCCCTAAGAAGCGGAAGGCACCTCAGCCCCCCGCCAGTGTCCCTGTGCCGGTGAGAGATGTCCTGGCCATGGGGGCAGGAAAGGAGGGAGGGAGCTCTGGCTCATATATGGGATGGGACAGCCCTTGAGCCTCATGTAAAGGTGGTGGGTCGTGGGGTGGGGGCAACAGGATGATCGTGATGCCTATGAGGAGATTGTGCGGCTGCGACAGGAGAAGGGCCGACTGCTTCAGAAGATCCGGGGCCTCGAGCAGCACCAGGAACGGAAAAAGCAGGAGGTGAGGGGCAGCAGGGACACAGGCCTGGGGCCAGGTGCAATTCTGGGAGGACGACTCCTACCTCCCTATCCTCACCTCCCCACTCTGCTACAGCCACATGGGCCTCCTCACTGTTCCTCCAACACACCAGGCATGGTCCTACCTCAGGGCCTTTGCATGTGCTATTCCTTCTGTCTGGATGTCCCCCAGATGTCACCTCCTTCAGGTCTTTGCTCAAAGACCCTTTGTCAAAGACACTTTCCCTGCCCACCTTATTTAAAATTGTGACACTGCCCACTCACTTCCCAGTTTCCTTTATTTTTGTGCAAAGCACTTATTGCTTTCAGACATGCCACATATTTTACTCATGTTCACCCATCGACTGTAAGCCCACAGGGGCAGGCATGGTGGATGGTTGCCTGGCTCACAGTAGATGCTTGATAAATATTTATAGGATGAACAAATATTTGAGTGAGTGAATGAATGAATGAGTGGTCAAACATGGGGTCTGGCACAAAGTTGGCACTGCATGCAGTAGGTGCACAGCAGACATCTGTGGGTGGAATGGAGGGTTACTAAGCAGGAAGTGGGCCGGGGAGACCCCCAGCCTGGATCCAAGCCCTGTCCCCCTTCTTTTATAAGCTACCAGAGGCAGAGGCCAGCTCCCTTCACAGCCTGGAGAGACAGGTAGGGGAAAAGCCGGCCCCCCCAGTTGCCCAGCGTTTCTTCCTGGAGACTGGCTGAGCCTCCACCGCCCTCCTCCAGGTGCAAGAGTTGCAGCAGCTGCTGGCGGAGAAGCAGGAGGAGAAGGAGAGTCTGGGACGGGAGGTGGAAAGTTTGCAGAGCCGACTGTCCCTGCTGGAGGTGGGCTGGGTGGAGAGTGGGGGGTGGGGCCTCAGCAATTTCGTAACAACCACACTAATACACGCAGTCTCACACACATGCAAACCCACACAGTAGACATACAATCACACACATAATAGATACTTCTCAGAACAAATCACACAAACACACGAAATTGGTCTTACACATATAACAGGTAAACACATCAGTGAAAGCAGTCACACACACACACAAACATCACATATGTGCACACAGCAAACACTTCTCATTCAATCACACACACAGATGACATACTCACAAATACATGTATACACACATGTATTTCTCAAAATACACAAACACAACCACTCACACATCTACACAAACACTCAAAATGTAACCATGCACACACAGTGGACTAAAACACAAGTGTAGAACTACACACTATCACAGGAACTCACACAGGAGAGGCGAGGGCCACTGTTCACAGAGGCACACACATGTACACAAGCGCTCACTGCAGACCCACAAACTCCAAACCACACACACGCACCCCACCATCCATCTCTCAGTCCTGTGTGTTCAGGCTGCACGTACAACCTCAATCATTGGGGTTATGGTCACACACTGGCGCAGTGACTGAGCTGTTTATTAATCTTCCTGGGGGCCCAGCATAGTCCTAGGCACTCAATACTTGTGGGCCAAACACAGCCAGTCAGATGCTTGTGGGGAGTCAAATAGACCGTGAACACCTCTGTCTACTGGATTCCTGGGGGGGGACATGGGGGTAGGAGGGGGGACAGGACCCCAAGCTGGATGTCACCCCCCCTCCCAGAACGAGCGGGAAAACACCAGCTATGACGTGGCCACCTTGCAGGATGAGGAGGGTGAGCTACCCGACTTTCCAGGTGAGCCATACCCCGTCCTCCCCCCACGCACTCCCACCCACCCATTCCCCGGCGTCCCAGGAGACAGAATCTTGACCCACAGGCGAGGAGAGAGTTTGAAGCTGGGAGGAAGGTTGACCCTCACTTGTAATTCACTCCCTGGGGACCCCAACCCGCTGCTCCAGACTCCCAGCTGCTTGGCACCCCAGGGTCTGACTCTGTGCACCTACCAGGGGCCGAGATGCTGCTCTCCAAGCAGCTAAGCCCATCAGTCCAGGAGCTCTTGACCTCGCTGCAGGAACAGGTGGCCGTCCTCACCAGACAGAACGAGGAGCTGATAGAGAAGGTCCAGGTGGGGAAACTGAGGCCCGGAAGAGTGGGCTGAGAGAGATTGTAGGGATAATTCCTCGAGGGAGTTGGGGTGAGCACATGGCTAAGTGTGGGCAGGGAAGGTGGCAAGACTGCCCTGTGTCCCTATGGCCACTTCAGCTCCCGGCGACTCCCTCCCCACCCCACCCCCCAGATCCTAGAGTGCTTTGAGAAGGATGAGATGGAGGCGAATGGTTCAGCTGAGGTCATCCCTCTGGCCCTCTACAACTCTCTCCGGACTGAGTTTAACCAACTGCGCAGGCAGCATGCTGAGGCCATGCAGGCACTGGAACAGCAGGAGGTACAGGGGACCCCCAGAGAAGAGAAGGCAGCCGCTGGGGAGCACAAGGACACACGAGACATGACCACCAGAAATGGGCCAACAGAAATGGAGCTTAATGGCACTGTGGCTCCAGAAACCAAGGTTAATGGAGTGGAGACCACAGATGATGAGACTGCAGGCGGTGAAACTGTAGAAGCCAGGACTTCGGAAGTAGCTTCCATGGGGGCTGAGGCCACAGAAACAAAACCCATGGACACCGAGGCCACAGAAACTGAGGGTGCAGGAGCTGGAGCCTTGGAAACACAGGCCACAGAGGCTGAGGCCACAGAAACAAAAGCTCCAAAAGAAGGAGGAAACCTGGAGACAGAGGACACGGGAGCAGAGGCCACAAATAGGAAAGCAGAGGAACCAGACACGAAAGCCAATGGAGTGGGAATTGTGGAGGGAGAGCTCACAAGCACGGAGACCATGAAGGTGGAGGCCACCTCCCCAAGTGTCCCCACTGACTCTGTCCTATACTCTGGTGCTGCCGAGGCCTCGGAAAAGCTACAGACCGAGCTGGAGACCAGGATTCGTGGCCTGGAGGAGGCGCTCCGACAGCGGGAGCAGGAAGCAGCCACAGAGCTGGAGGCAGCCCGTGGCAAGTTCGAGGCGGAGGGCAGCAGGGCTGGTGGGGGAGGCAGCGGTGATACGGTCCAACTGCGGGCTGCGCTGGAGCAGGCGCGGGAGGACCTCCGAGACCGGGACTTTCGCCTCCGAGAGCTGGAGGGCACCTCCGCCTGGCTTGATGAGGCCCGGGCCAGCCGGCTGCTGGCTGAGGAGGAGGCCCGGGGCCTACGGGCAGAGCTGGCTCGACGGGAAGAGGTGCGGTTGGAGCAGATTCGGGAGCTGGAGGTGCTACGGAAGCAGCTGGCCACTGCCACGGCCACCGGTGAACAGCAGCGGGCAGCAGCTGCCGAGCTGGGCCAAGCACGGGACAAGGCTGAGGCCCGGGCCGCTGAGTTGGCCGCAGCCTGCGAGGAGGCTCGGCAGGGCCTGGCAGAGCTGCGCGAGGCCTCGGAGGTGCTCCGCCATTCGGCAGTGCCGGCCTCTGAGCATCACCGGCTGCAGGAGGAAGCCCTTGAGTTGCGGGGCCGGGCAGCCAGCCTAGAACAGGAGGTGGTGGCCATAGGCAAGGAGAATGCCCGGCTGCGGGCAGAGCTGGAGCGAGAGCGTGTGGGCAGCGTGGCCCGCATGGAGCACGAGCGCATAGTGGGTGCATTGCAGGCTGATGTGGCCCGGCTGGAGGGGCAGCTGGAGGAGCTAGGACGCCGCCATGAGAAGACCAGCGCTGAGGTCTTCCAGGTGAGCATGGCTGGGCCCCCACCAGGCACACCCACCAGCCACTTGGTTATCTGTTTTGACCCTGCAGCCATGGGATATTTCGATCCCATAGGTTTCAATGCCACAGATACTTGACCCTGCCAATGATTCCTGGTGGACCTTTGACCCTGCAGCCATTCTGATCTCCTGGATGTTTAAACTTGTATTTTCTTTAAAACGTTTTGGCCATTTCGACCCCATAACTTTTTGTAATGATTAGCACTTTTTGCGATCTGTTTATAAAACCTGTGTGTATCCAAAAGTCATGGAGAAATTCGCATATGTTTTCTTCCAGTATCTTTATTGTTTTAGTTTCACAATCATTTTTATGCTTTGGCTGTAATTGTGTGTATGGTGTGAGGTGGGGATCAACATTCACTCCGTTATCTGCAAGCAGTGATTTTTGCCCTGATATTTTCACCTGATATGCATTTTCTCTGCTGGTCGAAATGACCCTGTGGTTTTCCCAGCTCACTCCTTTGAAATTCTCATTTTATCTTATCATTTTGATGCTTTGGAGAAGGACAAGCACAGGGATTTCTGATCTCATTTTGAACCCAGGAGATTTTGATGCTGAGGTTTGTTTTGTAACCCAGGGAGTATTTATTTTGTCCCTGATGGTAGACCTTTGACTCCATCTTTTTTCTTATATTACAAAAAAAAGAAAAACAACTGTTTCAACAAATATATAAATAAGAAGCTACGTTCATTACTTGTCAGGAAAGCATTTCTCTCTCTGAGCTTCTGTTTCCCATATAATGGAGATAATAATAGTTCCTAATCCTCACATGGAAATTAAGTGGTTTAATTTACATTAGCTACTTAGGAAAGTGATGGTACAAATGATTAAAAAATGACAGCCAGAATTATTTTTTCTCCAAGAACATCCTCTTTTATTTTATTTTTTTAAGATTTTTATTGGGGAATTGGAAGAGTGCTGGGGAATTGGGGGAAGGGAAACAGACAAGTTGCTGTCATTTTGTTCTTTAGTCTAGTTGTGGAGGACGCTGCTTCACTGGCCCAAGTTGGCACCATCATTGCACTCTTCCCCGGCGAGGCAGATCAGTCACCGGCTTCTGGACGGCCGCTCACTGGGGCTGCTGGCCGCTCATGCTGGTTGCTGGCTACACACGGTAGCCCATGGCAACCCACTGCAGCAGGGGCTGCAGCCTACGCCGTCGCCAGCGACTCATGGCAGCCCAGCTCCAGGTTGAGCTGTTGTTCAGCATCTTAACTGTAGAGGCCAGTGTCACTGGCCTTCATATGTGGGATCCAAACCGGGGCCCTCTGGCGTCCCAAGCCAGCTCTTAACCAATGCGCCACTCAGCCGGCCCAAGAACATCCTCTTTTAAACCAGTTAAACTCTAGATCTTCTTCATAGAATTCACAGTCCAAACTAAGTATGGCCATCTTCATAGATATCTTCTAAATTTTACCTGCCTCCTGACCACTTCCTTCTTGGTTAAATTTTACAAGTCTGATTTGATTTATCAATTAGTTTAGTTTTCTTTTAATTATTAATGTGCAGACAATCTATACTAATTGGAATACCTAATTGTTGTCCATTTTCCCCTGGAGCTGTTATTTCTGTAAAGGCCAGTGTTCCTCCCAGGATCAATTTTTGTAATTCTAACATTGCTCCAATCTTGATATTTCTGTGAAAATGCAGTCATCATTTTTTGGGACATCTGTTTGCTTTTCATCCAAATTCTTCTCTTTTTCTTTCATTTTGTAAGAAATCTACAAACCTTCAACGACTGGCAGAGAAAAGGACATTAGTGATGATGATGATGATGATGATGGTGATGGTGATGGTGATAATAATACCCCTAACTCGAATATAGGACTTACTGTGTGCCATGCACTGCTATAAGCATATTCCATGTATTTGCTCATTTTATCCTCACAACTACCCTATGAAGTTGAGGCTATAATTATCCTCATTTTACATATGAGGAAACTGAGGCACAGAGAGGTTAAGTCATTTACCTAAGGGCCACACAGCCAGCAGATCAGAGTTGCTTGGCAGGGTCAGAATGTTCATAGTGCCCAGGGGAATCCAGCACTTCCCTGAGTCAAACTCTTTGAGGTCAAAATGGGCTTGAATGCCCTCAGGCCAAAATAACGGGTCAGAGGAACTCTGGGGTCCAGGCATATTTGGGGTCCAAGTGTCCTCAGGGTCATGCATGGGCTTGGGCTACAGGTGCAGCGGGAAGCGCTGTTCATGAAGAGTGAACGACACGCAGCCGAGGCCCAGCTGGCCACGGCAGAGCAGCAGCTGCGGGGGCTACGTACTGAGGCAGAGCGGGCACGCCAGGCCCAGAGCCGTGCCCAGGAGGCCCTGGACAGGGCCAAGGAGAAGGACAAGAAGGTGAGTCCTCTTTTCCTGTGCTCAAATGGGGGCCTCCACTCAACAGAGGTTGGAGGGAACCTAAGAATGTCCCAGCTAAAAAGGTCTGGGAACCCATTTTCCAGGTAGGAGACTGAGGCACAGAGAAGGAAAGGGACAACTCAGACACACAGGCTACTGTTCCAACTACTAATTATAACCACGGTAACAATTTTTGAGGGCTAATTGCATAGCAGGCCCTGTACTATGCATTTAACACAGATTAATGCAGTTAATCCTCTCATCAAGTTCCAATAAGATTGGTGCTTTTATTATCCCCATTTGAGGAAACTGAGGCACAGAGAAATGAAGCCATTTGCCCAAGGTCACACATCTATGCATTGGTTCCGCCAGGGTTCAAACCCAAGTTCCCAAGTTCTTTTATTAAATAATAAGAATAATGATAACAGAAGCCTCTGGTTATTGAGTCAGGTGTTTTTTATACATCATCACTTTTAATCTCCTCACAGTCCTAAGAGCCAGAAAGCATTTTATCTTCATCTTCCAGATGAGCAAACTGAGGCTGAGAGGCAAATTGCGTGGCTCAAAGTCACACAGCATGTCAGTGGGCAGTGGATGTGACCTGCAGAGCCCCAGGTGCTTTAGCACAAAGAGTCACCCAGCCCCAACTTGCTGTGTGACCTTGGACAAGTCACTTGACTTCTCTGAGCCCCAGTTTCCACCTCTATAAAATGATGATAAAATTGTGGTAGGGGTTATGGTTTATTTGTAGCAGGGTTCCTCCCCCTCGGCACTAGTGACATTCAGGGCCCAGTCACTCTCTGTGGGGAGCTGTCCTGGGCACTGTGGGGTGTTCAGCATCCCCAGCCCCACCCACTCAATGCCAGGAACACCCCCAGATATTGCCCAGTGTCCCTTGGGGGAAGAATAGCCCCTGATGTATTTATTGAATGTCTGATGTTTGCCAGGCACAGTTTAAACTTAATCACTGTTGAGAATCATGGTAACTGATGAGAACCATGATTCTCCTTACTTTACAGATGAGGAAACTGAGGCTCAGAGGGGTTAAGTCATTTTCCCAAGATCTCCTTTGAGAAAGGGGTAGAGAACAGCCCAAACCCAGGGCTTCCTGCCCTCCTGTTCTCTCAGCCTCCCCTTTCTGTGACAGGATTGGCAAACCTTTACTGTAAAGGGCCCAATAGGCATTGTTTTGAGCTCAGCTCTGCCATTGCAGCATGAGACTTAGGTGACATGAACACAAATGGTTGTGGCTGTGCACCAGTAAAATTTTATGTACCGTATGAACATGGAAATGTGAATTTGATCTAATTTTCACGTGTCATGAAATAGCATTCTTCTTTTGATTTTTTACCCCACCCCCAACGACTTAAAAATGTGCAAACCATTCTTAGCCTGAGGGCCGGAGTTTGGTAGCCTTTAGGATGTGACTTCCCCCTGCACGCCTCTGTCCCACCTCTCTTATCAATGCTGCCCTCAGCCCTGGGCTCAGGGTGACCACTGACACCCCCCCCCGCCCCCCAGATTACAGAGCTCTCCAAGGAGGTCTTCAGTCTTAAGGAAGCGCTGAAGGACCAGCCAGCAGCCCCAAGCAGCCCTGAGGTGGAGGCCCTCCGTGGCCAGGTGAAGGCTCTCCAGGGGCAGCTGGAGGTAAGAGCTGCACATGTAGGCACACCAGGGGGGGGGGGGGGGGGAGTGGCAGCAGAAGCATGGGGTACATGTGCCAGGCAAGGGAAGAAAACATTTCAATATTTTGGCAACCGGCACCATCA